GAGCGATAACGGAAAAGTGAGATATTCGTGACCGTTCGAAGATCACGCGGAAATTCCAGAACAGATCAAATCAAGGCCGGTTGCTTAGGCTAATCATGAGATTTACTTCCGTAATTGGAATTTTACCATAGATAGGATTCATCTGCTATATAAAGAGGGTTTTGATCATTTTGTAAGCATCTTACATTGACGCATATCAAAGCAATACAATACTTTCTAGCTTACATCTTACATTGATGCATATCAAAGCAATACAATACTTTCTAGCTTATATCCTTGTTCACCAGTTAGTCTGTTTCTTAACTATTCTGATCACCGATCAGTTCGAGGGCACTTAAGCTCGAGGGCTGAACCACGTTTCAAGACTGGTTTGCTTTATCTCATTGGTTATCTTTACTGCTAATCTTTACGTTTATGAGTTGGTATTAGGTCAAATCACTTATCCTTAAAACCACATTATAAGTTTAATTGTTATCCAATTTTTAGGGTAAACAACTTTGACTTTTTAATTTGGCACATATTTGTTTTTCACTCTTTACTTTTTAATTGGAAGAATAAATTTTTATGTAATTAGCTTAGATTTCAGTCAAACAGTCACAAAAGCAACAAAAGTGCGAAAGGATAATTGTAATAGGCAAAATTATAATCCAAATGTCTGAATGAAATTATCATATGGCCAATGCATGTCTCGTGAATGCCATTGCGGAAGTTACTTCCCAAGAGAACAATATCTTATTTTATTTCTGGAAATCCCCTTGCCCCTCTTCAACATGAGGCAACAGCTTTTGACTTGGATGGCAAAAGGCACAGTGTCAGGGTAATGAATTAAGAAGAAAATAACAACACCAACAACAAAAAACGGGTTCAACATTCTTAACCCTTCTCTTTTATTTGTTAAACTTCGTCTTGTGATTTTGGTAAAATTGATTTCTAAAAATGTCATCGCAGATTTTCTGGGATGATATCATAATATACATTATGCATTGTGTACATGTCAGCCTGTTATAATTAGGAAAAATATATGTTTGAAAGTTAAAATTGGCTTACATAGATACTAAATGTATGAAATCATTGAAAATTTACTTTGTGAGTAGTGTAACGATATAAATATGTTGTTTGGAAGAATAATATTTATATTTGAAAGTGTTTATGTTATTTTGAGATCAGTTGAATTTGTTTTTGGTTTAAAAAATGTGAGACATTATTTAGATGTTTTTGTGGTTTTCACTAAAGGTTAAAGATATAAATAGATATCTATTAATATATCTTTAAGTTATTGGGTTTTATGTATTGACACTTGCTGATATATGATATCTATTTTCTCTCTCTCTTTCTATATATATATATATATATATATATATATATATATATATATATCATATATTTATAGTTTTCTTTTATTTTTATGCAATTTNTGAGAACTTGAGATGTGCATAAGCTGGCCTGTCCATCATGGTAATTAAAAAAAAGGAATAATTCATCAGAGATAGTTAATTGGGACTGCTGGATAACGGAAAAGTATGAAGCAATGAGTGATACAGATACACCTATGAGCTTTTCTTCTCTTCAGATAGTTTTATGTTCATAATTTAGGAATTTTGAGAAGACTACTAAATTGATGAGATCGGTCGGCAACTTCGTCTCTCAAATGAGCTCTTCAATCATGTGCAGATCGTTTATTAGTAAAACGTCACCTGCAATTTATTTAGTATTAAAATAGGTCAATAAGTCTGGAATAGTGCAAGCAGGTAAAGAAGTTCCAACAAATTAGTACCACACATTTTAAGTGCAAGCAGGTGACGCAGTTGCCTTGGTCATCTCTGATTTACTGAAAGTCTGTGNGTCCGTGAGTCATATTTAATGTATCTGGTTTATACTATTATAAATAAGAGTATTGCTAGCTTATTTATGTGTGGAGATTTTTAATAAAATATTTTCCGTCACTATCTAAGATATTTTTATTTTCTTTGGTGGTTGCAGCACAATGAACGAGCTTGTTGACAAATTGAACACTGCATATGACAGACATAGCAGGAGGAGTGGGCGAACTGCTTTTATTTGAAAATTTAAATATTACCAAGATTACCTTTTTGCTCTTATTGAATCTCCTTTGTAGCAGTAGCTACATGTTTTGCTGAGTTTAGGGATCCTATAGGAATCGAAGTACTGAGAAGTTTGCTTTTCTTTTGTCTCTCTGTAGTCGTAGTTGCCCATATATATAACCTTGATTCTTGTGGCACCATTATATAGGTGCGTGAAAGTGATAAGAGGATTTTGGCTTCAGAAGTTTTACTCAGTATGCTTGGGCCTATTGTTGCCCGGTAGTAGTAGTGTTCTGCAAGTACTAATTTAATTTGAGATTCTGGGCATGTGTTCTTCCTTTCCCGTAACCCAACCCTTTTAATACCAAGTTAATCTTCATCCTACTTTCTTGGTGAATGTTAGTCTTTCCTACCCTCAAAATTACTTTCAAATATGCATTTTTTTTCCTGTTGAAATGAATTTTAGTTTGATTTATACAAAACGTTATTAAAAAGTTGCCCTATCTTATCGAGTATGAGTTCTTCAAATCTTACAAGTTCACTTGAAGTGCAAAATAACACTCTTTTAATCTTGTTAATCAATCCAATTCTTTTGTGGTGATGACAAAAGGAACCCATTGCGATCAAAGATAATGTTTGAATATGACAGACTGCAAATAAGCTAACGCATTTCTCTTGAAAGTTGAGAAGAGATCCTTTTTAACAAGATAATATCCATTGCAATTTAAAGGGTTTATACAACAGAGAATGATAAAGCAAGATAATCGTAACATTACAATTCAGGCTGCAAATAAGCATAACGTACATCACAGTGAAGTTGTATTTTAGACAAACTAAGTACAAAGTAGAGAACAAAACTCGGCCAACTTGACCAGTGGGAGGTCCTTCTTCAATTCGACTCTACCATAAGTGGAAGGAAATTCACAACTGTGATTAAAAGGTTATCTAACATAACGTCCAAGACAAGAGATAAGCTTTGCAATTTGGACCAAGGGACACCTCTGAGCTTATCTATCCAGTGGATAGAGAAGTGTTCCGTTGTTGGCTGTAACTTTAAATTCTTGACACTCTTGTGCAGAAATAATTCAAGATATTGTAAATCAAAAACATCAAGTATGTTCCCTCGGATTTTTATGGACAGGGATTGCAGGAAATATAAGAGCTCATAAGGTTTACCAACAAAGGAAACCAGGGAGAAGTCACACAGTACAGAAGCAACTTTTTGTTGGTGTAAGCACAATGGACTTCCAATTATCTTGACAGTTCTGTTTTCTGAAAGTAATGATAATGAACGGAGTTAATAAATGGCAAGTGCAAAAGCTCAAAGTTCAGTTTTCTATACCCAGACAGCCTAAGAAAGATCGTCGAAGGTCAATGAAATTTTTTTTAATAAAAGATTAGCAGATAAATGAATTGGCTCCCAAATATATTTATACACCACAAGTTACTTAAGCTAACAAATCTGCTTTTGGAAGTTGAAATGTAATGGCTCAAGTGAACTATTACAATTAAGTAAAATTTATTTTTGCAGAGAGAATTCCAGGATAATAGCGTTTTAATCCATATACAAGACCCCCTCTAATTGAGTTTCTCAAACTATATCTCTAATAACAAAAAACTTACACATCTCATAAAAATTTATGCACTCTTTTTATAAAACAACATAAGTTTGGGCCCGGGCTCAGCACGGGCCATTCTACACTAGTATATATAGAAGCCGCTTGGGAAGCATGTCGGGGTCGTCATGCCTGCTTACCAAGGGCTACTTTGGTCTTTTACAAAAATTTTGCTGAAAACTACACGTGTAGAGCAACTTGACGGGTGGTGTGATGTGAGAACTCCCCGCTGCATATATGTCAGCAAGAAAGAGGATGAACAAAGGCAGATTATTTTTTTTCTCTGCTTCATCTTCAGATTTCGTTTTATCTTAAATTGATCGATTTTGCTGCTACTTTCGACATCACCGGTTAATCGAAGGTCAGTCACTTTCCTCCCAAGGTTTTATCACCAAGAGATCTGTAAAATCTCAATGCTAAATCGTGTTTTAGGGACGCTTCTTCTGCTGATTTTGTGTGGGAATCTAAGCTGCCTTTGAATTATTTATGCTAAGTTTGTCGACCCAATTATTTTGATGGTGGCACAAAGGTCCGATCTTTACCCTTCTTATATTACATCTTTATTATGGGAAAAGTATTCATTGTTAATTCCCAATTTATTTGTGGGATATACTGGGTTTTTTGTTGTTGTAATTTCCAATTTATTTGCATATATGGGGTTTTGTTGATATCCTTTGAATTTTCTTGAAAGATAGAATTTGTTTGATAGGAAAATAAGAAAAGTTATGTTGAAAATGATTGAACAAAATTTAGGTGAAATGGGTTTGTCTATTTTAAAGGAAATACCTATGGTATATGCGTTTTCTGATTAAAAATTTTGTATAATTGTTGAGATTGGAACAGATAATCTAAAGTTTTATATTTTGTTTTAAAGATGAGTTTTAATATCATCTTTTATTTTTCTGTTTCGCTTTGCTCTATAAGTGTTTGACAAAATTCTTCAATGAATCAGGCCTTCGACTAGACTTTTATTATTATCTTTCGATTAATTTATTGCTTTCCATAGAAAGAAGGGGCTGGTAATTTGAGTTTAGGTACATCATGGGGGTTGATGATTCCATATTCCGCCAATTGGTTTTCAAATGTGCTTGATTTTCGCTATTAAGAATTCATTTTCATGGTTCGGCAGTAAACTCTTTTGCCCAGGCAGAATCTGGAGTGGTTAAGTTTTTCTCGGTTTGGTGAGTTTTTCCAAAATAAAAATATTTCCATCTTAGATGCTCGTATTCATGCTACACATGCATGTCCCATTGTGAATTACATATTAATATTAAATTATGCTCTTGTACTGTTTCGTATACATAATAACATATATTGAAATTTATACGTAAATCATGGAATGTGAGGTCAACCATATTCTCATTATTATTTACAACCCTAAAGGTTTACGTTGAGAAAGGAGCGCTTATAGAGTAGTGTTATGTGTCTCATATATTATAGTAAAGCCAACTAACAACTGAAGAAACAAAAAATATTGAAAAAAATTACTCTTTGATAGAATATTTATTGTTTAGTGTAATTAGTACATAGATGATGAATCGTTTTGACGTGAGATCTTTAGCATTGTTTCATTCAAAGAAATTTTAACTCATTTAGTAAACATTGTGCATACTAAAATGTTTTACTCGATAATGGAGTTATTGCCCGAAAAGAGTACAAAATATGAAAAAAGATAAACTATTAACAAATGAAAGATAAGTTAAAAGTACAAAAGCTCTCATAAAAACTGTTCATTTGATTTACTATATAGCTAGATAAGTTAATGTAATTATGCAATTTCTAATTTCAAAATGTAGGTTTGATCAACTATTACTTTATCATGAGATTTTGTTAAAAATGCCTATGAAATTTCTTTAAAAAAATAAAAGATAATAAACCAATCAACCACACCATTCAAAAAATACCGAAATTGATAATGTATATGTTTCCTGCACATATCAAACTTTACTTTTGATATAAAGCTAATGAGACTTAATTTGTTGCTTTTAAATCCAAACTTAGTACATATTTTCTAATAGATTTCTTTTGTAGCTTAATTTCTCCCTAACACTATTTGTTCGAGTCAGCGTTAATGTACATTTTCTATTGGTTTCCTTTATAGATTAGTTGCTCAAGGGGAAATGTAATTTGCTATTAATTTTTTTTCTATTTTACCAAAAGGAATATTTTACTAAATCATGTATTATATGACGTGGTATACACGTACAACGCACGTGCCGAGAGACTAGTAATATAATAAAAATGCGTCTAAAATTAGATGAGAAAAGTGTCTGGAAAATATTGTCACACCCCCTTTTTAACCAAACCTTACTAAACCCTCTTAAAATAATAAAACGATTTAGTAAAAGCTTGAAAAAGGTTTTCAATTTGAAAAGTGACAAAATTGTGTGTTCAAAAGGATTAACTCAGAGTCGCCACCTAATAAAAGAAAAATAAAAATAAAAATAAAATACTGCAAGCTCTACTTTTGGCCTCCAAATATAAGTACTACGGGGCATTCCCGGAATAAAATATATACAAGTCCTTCGGGGCATTCCTCGGATAAATTTAACTAAGGGAACGACCTCTCGCCTCGAAACTAACAAAATTCCTAAGGCTTGCTTACCCAAGTGTGGTCGGCCTAAGCATGCTACTAGCGATTAGAACAATAAAATAAAATAGTGAACATGTTCTCTAAATTTCAATTCTGTTTTCTTTAAGATCCCAACTCCCCGGCCAAATCATCAAGCAAGCATTAATATGGATCCAACAAAACGACACAGCAGAAAGCATTCAAAACAACTGAAGAGACAAAATGAAGGAAAGTTGAAACAACTAATAATGGTAAAATGGATCAGAAGCATCGGAAGAGCCATTAAAGACTTCCCAACACCCCGAGTCCTTATTAAATCCTCAACTTTGCTGCGGCCCCATCCCGAAAGGCTCATAATTTAATCACACAAAATAATCGATCCACGTCTTTTTTACTCCAACATTTATCAAGTTACCCCAACAAAATACTAAGATGATTCATATGGCAGCACACTCCTTAATCTCCTGGGACTGAAAATACTTTCTAATCTACTAGAAGTAACATTACTACTGCATGAAGGATTAATTTTAAACTAAAAAGATCTCTTCGTCTCATTTTAATTCCACATAACGCTCATTTACAAAGCAAACTTTCAATCATAACTTGAACCAAAGAAATACTTCAAACACATCAAGCTAGATACATCGACAACCAAACGAGACAAAATTCAGAAGGAAGTCAGAAAAGACTCAGTGAAGCCACGAATGGACTTGTTAACAGCCTATTAAACTTTCCAATCAGATCATTTCAGTTCCTTGACTTACCCTTCCTGTTCTCAGTTCCTTAAGGCCGTATGATCAGATTCTAATAATAGAAGAAAACAAGAACAAGTTATTATTTATTTTCAGAGGAAGGCCAACCAATTAAGGCATTGACAAACATGCATATGACTCCAACAGCTCGGTTATGATTTATATAGGTTAACACTAAGTCACTCGTACTAGAAAATCAAAAAACTAGACGGAAGACGCGAGAATACACGTCGCTGATTCAAATTCATTTTACAGTTACAACGCCTAATAGACCATCTGTTTCAAATTGAGAATATCTTAACTCAAGAAATACTTCAACACCATAATAACGGTTAAAAGCATTCAAGGCATAGAAAAAAAAACCATTCGGATCAACTATCACTAACCGAGCATGCTTAAACCAATCAAACAGTGAGATCAGAGAATTCCAATGAAACAGCGAAGAACAAACTATATTCCTATTTCTAGCAGCCAAACCAACATACGAGCAGTACGACGGAACACAACAATCGACTAAACAGAGCAGAACAGTATGAGCAACATACGAGCAGCACGAGCAGAACAGAATCGCACGCTAAGAGAAGTCATCCAACATATCCAAGCGGAAACAGACTGGAAAACATGGACACTGAAGCATGAAAATGAAACAGAACACAAGTAACAGACGAAGATCCAATCTAACTAAAATCACACACGACAGGGAAGACAAAAATGAACCTGTTGAAGCTTAAGCTTTCGATAGAACAGAAGATTCGGCGTATACAAAGCTTTTACTCCAAATTCCAGCAAAATAACAGCAATATCGCGAACCAGTAGCAGGACAAAACAGCAACGAAAATGGATTTGGAACCACGAACAAGAACCTCACGAGCAGTCAACGGACATTAACTAAACTCCATTCTTGTTGAACAAATCAGAGGCTAATATACTTTTTTTTTTAATATTTTCTAGCCCTCTCGTTTTCCGAACTCTCTCTTCTCTGATTTTTCTTCGAAAATTCTCTCCAAAAAAAACCCCCGAATTCCTCTGATTTCTCTCTTTTTATAGTTCGAAATCGAACAAATGGAGGGTCTAGATTGACATTCATTCAATCTACGGCCCCCATTCATTCGATTCGAACTTGGAGAGCAAGAAAACGCGTAGAAATGATGAAGCTTCGTACGGAGTGTGACGTGGAAGAAGGAGAGAGGAGCAGGGGAGGGGACCAGCGGATTCGGGGTGTCTCTGGCGGGTTTGGGTGGGCAGAGATGGGTGAGGGTGGCGGATGGTCTTGAGAGCTAGGGTTTGGGGATTTAGGGTTAAAGTTGGGTTTAATGTGGGTGTAGGGGAATTAAGGTGGGCCGTTGGATGAGAGAAAATGGATGGTTGAGATTTAAGGTATAAACGGGGCAGGTCCGATGGGTTATGGGTTAGGGGATTGGGGCTGCTGATTTGGGCTTCCTCTGGTCAAAATTAGGCTTCAAATTTGGATTTCAACTCTTTTAAAATCCCTAAATAAATAAAACTTGAACCTTTCTTTTTAAAAAAAAATGATTTAAAATTAATTATAATTAATTAAAGTAAAATATATCATACTATGAAACTATATTTTTTATATATCATTTTTATATAAATTGTTATATTCAAAAATAAAATTGAAAATCATAGTAACAACGAAAATATATTGCTATAAAAATATTAATAATCTAAACAAAATAGAAATAAGATAAAACATGAAACTATTTTTGTATTTTTTAATTTTGTGCCTTAAAAATAGAATTAAATTTAATAATAAAATGAAATCCTATAGAAATAAGCTCAAACAAAAATACTAGGACTATTAAGGGTAATTCTAATGCGTGGGTCAAAAATTACATGTCTACAAATATCAAGAATGACATGATTGAAAATGTGAAACGATGTAACATATTAATTAGAAAAAAAGTATATATTAATAAAATATGAATGCACATAATAACGAATAAAGATTGTATTAACAGATAAAGGATACGTATTAGCAAATGAAACTTCTAAAAAACTAGAATTGATGGAACAAATGTTTAGAGGAATTTCCCTCACGATTTTATACTATTAGCTAAGTCAATGGAAGAAGTTATTCACAAATTGACAAGTTTGATCAAAATATCACATAAGACTGATTAATAATTATTTACGAGTTCTAGCCTACTCAAGTTAAGCTAGTTAGCTTAAATCAATTAAATGTGTATGAATCGAGTTAATCAAACCAATTATAAGAGCGCGTCTAAATGTCTAAGAATATGATGTGAACTATTATTAGCTAAGGTAAAACTGCTAAATTGTTATAAATAATTATCTAGTGGTGGATGTCCATAAACCCTAAAGGAGTAATACCCACTATTCTTCTCCATTATCTCCATAACTCCCACTACTTCATTACTTATGGAGTTATGATTGTAACTCTCATACCTCCATAACCTCCACATGATCTTCCTCCATGTCTCAAATGTTTAATGTTATGTTTATGACATTCTTTTGTATACCTCTATGTAATACTATAAATAGAGGATGAGAAGTAATATTGTACACACTTAAATACATGGAAGAAATAAGAATTTCTTCTCTATTACTCTAGGCATTCTTGTCTATTTTCTTGTTTTATTACTTTAAGCTAAGTTTCGTAACACGTTTTCAGCATGAAGGGCTCATTTTGTAATCTTCTATCAAGATTATATGGTAGGTGCTCTTTAACTTCCATGGCATTGGCCAATACCAATTTGGCGGCAAGGTAAGTAAATACTGTGAGCACGTTTCATATCCAAGGAAAAGAAAAAGGTAAGTAGATACTTTCTTTTGCTAAATGATGCCTATGGTCGTTGTCATTACATGAATAGCCAATCTATTCAAGAACATCTCTGTAAGTTATTGTTCATCTCTATTGTTGGCAAGTATATTAATTTTGATAGTTGTTCATAAGTTCTTGCCAAGACACCTTAGAAAATGATATCGCATGTTTTTCTATTTTAGTTTGAAATACATACATCTTTTTTTAATAGTAGGTATTGTGGTTAAAATTTTCAGAATTGTGTAGTGCGACATCATCATATTTGGAAGCTATATTTTAGCTTTCTAAACAGAAAATTCACTAGAAACTAACAGGGCTTTAAAATTGGTAATTAATGCCTAAGAAGGAGAGATCTGACAAAATAACAATGAAAGTATTGGTTAGGGTTGAGTTCTGCTCATTTATACTTGCATCAATCTTTGAAATAAGAGTTTACATGCACGTTTTCAATTATGTTTGTTGTATACATTTGACTATGATCAAACCTTATTCTTTATACGTAAGCAACCAAGGAACCTTTAGTTCATTCGTGAAATTCATATGTTATATAGCTGTTGCATATTCATATTAATATTAATCTAGTGCATGTAGATTACTACATACTTGTATCATTGTAAATAAAATCAAGAATATTTGGACACAAGATCGGGTAGAGATCTACGTCTACATCATTATGGACCAATCAAAGTGGTAATACTTTTTAAAGGCTCAAGGGTGAGTCATAGTGCATTTTGGTCTATTATGACATTAGACAAGAGTAAGACGGTGGGTTCAAGTCCCAACGCACCATGAGAATAAGACATTGGGTTCAAGTTCCAGCATATTAAGGCTTAACACGCTATTATGAGAATAAAACATCATATATAAGTTTTGATGCACATGATGAGGTAAGACGTTGGGTTTGAGTCCCAACGTATTAGGGCCTAAAACGCCTTTATATGGGTAAGGCATTGGGTTTGAGTCCCAATGGACCATATTGATGATATAATGATAACTAAAGAAAAATAATGTATTTTTTATGAAAAAACATGGATCTTGTCCCACTTGATTTGCTCCATTCTTAAAGCGAATGTGATAGAGGTTCATAATAAGTTTAAATGAAGACAAGTGGTTGACTAATATACGTGGGCGTGCCAAAGATCAAAATAATAATAGTCATCATTATGGTAATTGTAAAAAGGAGAACAATAAGGGTTCTCAAAATATTACTTCAAAATGTGAAGGTGATGTTTGCCATCAATGTCGTATGAAAATAATAAAGCACGTCCATATGATTATAGTCCACTTGAAGAGAATGTGACTTGTGATATGCATTGTAAATGCAGGCTTATTCCTGAAAGTAAATGTTGAAATATATATGTAATAAAAATTATGCATAAGAATGTGCTTATGCATGGTTGGATAAATACTACAGCTCACCTCTTGGGAGGTTTGAGAGAAAGAAAGATAATGCATATTACTGTGTGGTTACATGAATATGTCATTGATCGCGTACACGTGGTACGACAAAAAATATTTTGTCAGGCCTTATAAAAAGTTATTAAAGGCAAAAGTAAAGCAAGAACTGGTTTTGCTTATGATGATTTTGACCTTGACAATTAGTATGATATAATTTCCTCCATGAAGGAGACATTCACTATATGGATGGTGTGACAAAAGATCTTGTAGTACAAAATTAATTAAGAGCTTCGGAAAAGCTAATTTATTACTACTTGGATAAATGAAATTGTCCATGACATCTTTTATTCTTTCATGGTAGCGTGGTAGCTCGTACCTTATATATAGTTTCTTGACAGTCTTGTCGTCCCATGTTATGTATGTTCATGCCATTATCTTTTATTGTTGGTTGTTCATGATCCACGTCTACCATTTATATTGATCTCGTCGGCCCTTAAAGATAATAAGGAAGATTAGATAAAATGTACGTTGGTGCTCGACAAGTATGGTCGGGTGCTAGTTATGACCCTCCAATTTGGGTCGTGAGAATGTCCTTACTCCACGATTGCAATAATCCTACACTATAATTCAACTAAATCTTCCATAAGCTCAAGTGGCACCAGTCATAAAATACTCCAAATCATATGCTAAGCGAATATTCGTCCTTGTGACAGTCGTTTGAACTTTCTCAAGCGATTCGAACTCGAATTGAAACACATATATCCCACTGGTAGAAAGAAAACTTCTCTAAAAAACATCATAAAGATCACACATCCGTAGACCACCCCGCATGATCACCTTACCTGCTCAGCCTCAAACTGGCATCTCACTATGACCCTATCATGGTTGCAACTATTGTACAATTGCTAAATCCTCCCTAGTATGAACTCGTCAACAAGACATAAGAATGACATACTCAGCCCGGAAGAGTCTATTATTGCATATAGGTAATGTTAGTTAATATTATTCATTGAAGATTTCAACTTTTGTGTATTGTTTGGTTGATCAGGTAAAGGGGAATTTGTGACTTGTTCCAAACACACGAATTCAGAGCTGTTTTTTGCAGTTTTAGGAGATCTAGGGCAGTTTGGAATCATAACAAGGGCAAGAATTTTATTAGAGAAAGCACCAACTAGAGTAAGTGTAAGTGTGTGTGTGTATATATATATATATATATGTTCTTCTTCAATTATAGATTTTCTAAGTTAGTACTAATATCTTTCATTTAATTTCTGGGGTTTTTTTAGGTGCAGATAATTTATAAACGTGATTTTTCTTTTGTTGTAATGTAGGTGAAATGGGTGAGAATTATGTATTCTGATTTCTCAAAATTCACAAGAGACCAAGAACATCTCATCTCAATAGAGGGCCTGGACTATGTAGAAGGATCTCTCATGATGATGAATCACAGTCCTCCAAATAACTGGAGATCTTCCTTTTTCTCACCTTCTAATCAAACCAAAATAGCTTCCTTGTTATCAAAAAATGACATTATCTACTGCTTAGAAATGGTCAAGTACTATGATGATCAAAGTGCTAACACAATTGATGAGGTATTAATATATTGCTATTGTATCTACACTGAAAATACACAATCTAAATCTTCAATGAACATTTTTACTCCATTTGTCCCAATTTATGTGATGAAGTCGGATTTCAAGAGTGAAATTATTAATGTTTTATGCAGGAAATGCAGAAATTACTTGAAGGGTTGAACTTTATGCCTGGATTCATATTCACAAGAGATGCAACCTTTATGGATTTTCTCAATAGAGTTAGAAGTGGGGAGGTAGAGCTGCAATCAAAAGGTCTATGAGATGTTCCTCATCCATGGCTCAATCTTTTTGTACCAAAGTCCACTATCATGGATTTCAATGTTGGTGTCTTTGTGGATATCATTCTTAGACAAAACAAGGCCACTGGACCCATCCTTGTCTACCCAACAAGCAGGAATAAGTACTCACTTCTAAACCTTCCTTTACATATATAGTATAAACA